GAATTCGTAACGCTATATCATAGAGGGTTAAATTGAAAAAAAAACAATCACACAACAACGTTTCTTTAACTTAAAAAACTGACATTAAATTCAATCCGCACGGATTTGACAAAAAAAAAAATAAATAAAATTAAAATGATAAAAAATCTTTGCGAACCAGACGAGGCACTTTCAGTCAATGAAATAATTTTTTCAGTGCAGGACCGGCCGATTCCCTCGCCTTTGAAAGGTGCTCATCATTCTGATAGACGATTAAAAGCAAACGGACGAACTGGACTGCATTTTGCAATTTGGAATTCTATAGATTCCAGCCCGGTTCAAAAACAACGTCTGTGCCATTAATTTCCCTATGCACATAAATGTTTTTCCAGAAGAGACAGACTTTATAGTTCCAAATTGCAAAATGCAGTCCAACTGTGATATCAATACGATGACTCAATAGGCGAACGTATCGTTCAAGGCTGCAAAATCTCTAATATCCCTCGATCCTACGATTCCAGGCTCTCGGTGTGCACACGTCGGAAAAGGTGTTCATACACCTCAGTAGGTCCGGCACGAAGAAATTACGCATTTTCAATGACTAAAGCGCGCACCGCAGTGACGACGTGTGCAGAGGCGGATCCAGCAATTTGGCAACACGGGATTTCCTCCATTTAAACCTATGCTAATTAATCGATTCTTGTTGGAGCACATGACCCCTCCAAGTATCGATACATTTCCATAGGTTTAAATTGAGAAAAGGCAATGTTGCCAATTTGCTGGATCCGCCAATGGACCTGTGCTTGAAGTATATATCTACAGTCTTGTAGGCGCTAATGTGCGTTTCGCTCCGACCGCACGGTTTGGCGCTATTAGTTGAACTCGCTAATTGTAAGTCAGTGTTTTTCAGCATGTTCCTAACATTAAATTGTGCAAGCTTTTAATGGATTACTGTCATTTATAATGTAGGGGGGGGGGAACTTGAGATCTAATTAATTTTCATTGGTTTCTTCCGTAGCCAACGACATTGGAAATTTATTCTTTTCAGGATTCTAAAAACGGAACACATATTTTCCGGAACGAATCCCAACCTGGATTTTCCAGGTACATATGCAGACCCTGTCACGGAGACATAAAAGTACATGCAGCTGTGCACTACTCTACTGTAAACTGCACGGGAAGGGGGGGGGGGTACAACTACTTTTGAAGTTTCTTGCCCTAATTTTGTAATGGGGGGGGGATGAAATAATCCAACGCTCGTAGTCAAATGGTAGAGCTGATCCATATCTCGATACAAAATACAACGGTACTAGATGCAGGGGCTAGGTGCTACCCATACTCGCTGCCTCGAAGATACGAATGAATCCGCCGCGAATCTCGAGAGCATACATCTCGCAGCAGCCGATCGAGCGATGACGTCAAAGACGTGATTGCGAGATAAATCGGCGCTCCGAGATGGATACTCTAAACATCCAAATGCCCGCCTGAGCCTGCACTTGCGAAATCGATGCGATGGCTTTCGGCCCGAATGAGCTAGAAAGCATAATGGAATGTGGCCCTTAAACGTAAGTGATATGGCCTCATTCTATTACAATTTAACAATCAAACGCTCAGAAAACTCAGATTTCTGGACTACTCGAAGTTCTCTTTTGGCGCGTATACGCAGTATACCGCCATTGCAAGCTTAAATAGTTGCGTCAAGTCCCCGTCACCGCCGACCAACGCGTTTTTCGATCCAATCAACTACAGGTATTATGCGTAGGAAGTCAAAACGCCTTCAATTTTTTGAACGCAATACGGACATCCGTCGAGGTTGTATAGTTGTATCAAAGCGCCGTAGCAATCGCGTCCCATTATTTATCGTTACAGACGAATATAAGTCAAGAGAGTTAGTTAGAGAGGCCAGTCATAATGCACTCAATTTTATACATACATATTTTTGGGCAAAATGAGAGACGACGTTTCTCCATTTGCGACGTTGCAGACTTCCTTAGGAATTTTATTTTTCGTTCGAGAAACTGGTCAACATTAAAACTTAAATTCTCAATGATTTTTCGTATTCGATATCAGAAGATTTGGTTCAAAATTTAAAGTCGTAAATTTGGATTGTTTCTCGTGGAAGAGATGAATTAAGAACGGAATTTTTGAAAGACCGCAAAGGAGATACGTGGTTTCGCACTTCAGTCGGACCGATACGGACATCCAACAAGCTTAAATAGTTGCGTCAAGTCCCCGTCACCGCCGAACAACGCGTTTGTCGATCGAATCAACTACAGGTATTATGCGTAGGAAGTCAAAACGCCTTCAATTTTTTGAACGCAATTCGGACATCCGTCGAGGTTGTATAGTTGTATCAAGGCGCCGTAGCAATCGCGTCCCATTGTATATCGTTACAGACGAATATAAGTCGAGAGAGGCCAGTCATAATGCCTTCAATTTTATACATACATATTTTGGGGCAAAATGAGAGACGACGTTTCTCCATTTGCGACGTTGTAGCGTTCGTCCCACCCGCCAGAGTTGGCAGGGCGGTCAAGACATCTTCGCAGTTTGTCGCGCCTTCAATCCGCAGAAGCTGCAACTTGCCTACAGCCGTGGTCAAATAGTTGTAAGTCAGGCCTGCCGTGAACGAACTCAAATATAGATGGTTCCACGCGACAAGTAGCTTATTTCCCTCGATTGCAACGTTGCAAACCACAGTTAATGGTTCAATTTGAATCAATATTTTTTAAAAGATACGCTCAGATTCTCTGAAAAATGTACTATTATTTTATGAAAGATTTGAACTGAAAGTACGGGAAAGAAATTGTCCGGCGTTGTTGAAATCCGGCGAAACTGCAACATGCTTACAGCCGTGGTCAAATAGTTGTATGTCACGCCTGCAGTAAGCACGAGAAAAGGAGCTTATTTGCCTCGATTGCAACGTTGCGAACGACACTTAATGCTTCAATTTGATTCAATATTTTTTTTAAAATGGGCGCACGGATTCTCTGAATTATTTACAATAATTTTACGAACGATTTCAATTGAAATCACGGGAAAATTCGTTGCGAAATTATATTTAGTCCTATACTCCTTTTTTTTTACCGATTAAAAGCCATGGTCCCTGATTCTGAATCTTAGCATTAGGATAATTATTTTTTTTTCCTACGGTGAAAATTAGATGGGAGTCATAAATAATGACGCATCCTCTAAGTGTCACAGCGATATTAGCGTTCGTCCCACCCGCCAGGGTCCGCAGGGCGGTCAAGACATCTTCGCAGTTTGACGCGCCTTCAATACGGCGAAACTGCAACATGCTTATAGCCGTGGTCAAATAGTTGTATGTCACGCCTGCCGTAAACGAACTCAAGTATCGATGGTTCCACGATAAAAGGAGCGAGGAAAGGAGGATTGCAACGTTGCGAACGACACTTACTGCTTCAATTTGAATGAATTTTTTTTAAAGGATACGCTCAGATTCTCTGAAAAATTTACAATAATTTTACGAACGATTTCAATTGAAATCACGGGAAATTTCGTAGCGATATCAAATTTAGTCCTATTTTCCTTTTTTTACCGAAAAAAACCACGGTCCCTGATTCTGAATTTTAGCATTTGGATAGTTATTTTTGTTTCATACGGTGAAAATTAGATGGGAGTCATAAAATGATGATCGTCTAAGTGTCGCAGCGATATTAGCGTTCGTCCCACCCGCCAGGATCCGCAGGGCGGTCAAGACATCTTCGCAGTGTGACGCGCCTTCAATCTGGCGAAGCTGTGACTTGCTTACAGCGTGGTCAAATAGATGTATGTCACGCCTACCGTAAACGAACTCAAGTATCGATGGTTCCACGCGAAAATGAGCTTACTTACCTCGATTACAACGTTGCGAACCACAGTTAATGCTTTAATTTCTATCAATATTTTTTGAAAGATACGCTCAGGTTCTCCGAGAAATTTACTATAATTTGACGCGTCTTCAATCCGGCGAAGCTGCAACTCTCTTACAGCCGTGGTCAAATAGTTGTTTGTCATGCCTGCCGAAAACGAACTCAAATATCGATGGTTTCACGGGAAAAAGAGCTGATTTACCTCGATTGCAACGTTGCGAACCACACTTAATTCTTGAATTTGAGTCAATATTTTTTAATAATCTGCATGACGGGCGGGCTTGCTCAGAATTCTTGCGATCTTGTAAAAAGGTTACTAATGCATCAATCTCTAAGGTCGATTGATTTCCTTCATCGTCTGTATTTTCCTATTATATCCCAGAGCTGACGTGCTCCTTTCTTTAGCTTTTTTAAATACTTTTAATACCGTGCCCCGCTTATTTAAAACATGCATTTATAAGAAAAGTAAATGAACTGATTGGAGGATGGCTGAACAGTTAAGCAATCCTCGAATGTGACTTTCACTCCTCCGTTTTTTTAAAAAGCTAATCCCAAAGATCCCTAGCCCTTGGCTACATTTTGGCCCCGTTGGAGCCCCTGATAAAAAAGCGAGGGACCCGTATGTGCAATCTCTGATGAGCCGTGAGACTTATTAGACCATGTGCTAACCGTGGCTCATACAGAAATCCTTTTGCACATACAGAAACCATTTTACCCTTCTCTCCCCCGTACACCACACCTCTGTCCGGAGACCGAGGCAGTATCCATTGTTCCTCGCGAGCGACCCGAACCAAACATATTTGATCGTAGAGAAAGAAACAAAGCAGGAAAATTTACCAAATTGTAAGCACTTTTGTGCAAGAATCACAGAAATGACTTCAAACTAATTTTAAGGGGGGGGGGGTTTCGGACCCCCCAATTGGACAGTTTAAAGGTCATACGATATTCCCGCGATTTGAGCCAATTTCACCTTACTTTGCCTCAACCTTATCTTGGTAAGTTCAAAATTAGTTCAACATTGCGTTTTCAAATCCCTAAATTTCGGGTAAAATTCGAGAATCAAAATTTAAGATATTCAATTCAACCGTTTACATTTCGCTTTTTAGAGATTAAGGCCGAGTGGAATCCGTCTCTGCAGGCAGATCCACTCGTCAGTTGCAAGAACATTTGTCGCCACCGCCGGGATTCGAATCCGGGACCTATTCAACCACAGTCAGACGCGCTGACCACGAGGCTAACCTGGCCGGCCGGAATTTCTTATTCTCTCCATACCATACGGTACCCCTGAATATTTCGCTCGTTCGCAAATTTTGCTCACAATATTCGAAATTTTTTCTGTTCAGGATTCTACATGGATCAATCCGAATTCAAATGCACATCCGAAGGAGGACTTAGCGCTCCTGAAGACAGGATCCCAGAGATTTCTACAGGCAGAATAAGTGTGAAGGATTCACAGGACATTATCCCGGAGGTTGGTAACACTATATTCATAAAGTGTGAGTTAACTGAACCGGAAGCAGAATCTGCATATGACACGGAATTTGCCTCTCATACACCTTGCCATGTGAAAACTGAAATTGGAACTTCTCCAAGTGAAGAAAAAAAGTCAGTTGAACACTTCAATAGCGCCTCGTGTTCCTCCAATTCTCTCATTGGTCATTCCATCACGATAAAATCGGAAGGAGACAATGAAAATGAAAATTGGAGCGACCAGTTACATACCAGTATTGAGATTAAAAACGAAGACCCTCTTAAGACTGACAGCTATGAATGCACTTACGTAACGGAAGATAGAGAACACGATTTTGAAAATGAGATTCAAAATCATATGCCAACCACGACATGCAAACCGCTCAGTTGCAATCGTTGCTCGGCCGGTTTTGCGATAAAAGGTACTTTAAAAACGAACATGCGAACACATACCGGTGAGAAACCATTTGCTTGCAGCCATTGCCCGGCTTGTTTCGCTAGAAAAGGAAATTTAATACAACACGTGCGAACACATACCGGTGAGAAACCATTTACTTGCAGCCAGTGCTCGGCCCCTTTTGCTCAGAAACAACATTTAAAACGCCACATGCGAACACATACCGGTGAGAAACCATTTACTTGCAGCCAGTGCTCGGCCCGTTTTGCTCAGAAACAACATTTACAACGCCACATGCGAACACATACCGGTGAAAAACCATTCACTTGCAGCCATTGCTCGGCTTGTTTCGCTACAAAAGGAAATTTAAAACAACACATGCGAAAACATACCGGTGAAAAACCATTCACTTGCAGCCATTGCTCGGCTTCTTTCGCTAGAAAAAGAAATTTAAAAAAACACATGCGAAAACATACCGGTGAAAAACCATTCACTTGCAGCCAGTGCTCGGCTTGTTTCGCTGGAAAAGGAGATTTAAAACAACACATGCGAACACATACCAGTGAAAAACCATTCACTTGCAGCCAATGCTCGGTCTCTTTCGCTCAAAAAGGACCGTTATTAAATCACATGCGAACACATACCGGTGAGAAACCATTCAGATGCAGCCATTGCTCGGTCTGCTTCATAGAAAAAGGAAGTTTAATACGGCACATGCGAACACATACCGGTGAAAAACCATTCACTTGCAGCCAGTGCTCGGCTTGTTTCGCTGGAAAAGGAGATTTAAAACGGCACATGCGAAGACATACCTGTGAAAAACCATTCACTTGCAGCCAATGCTCGGTCTGTTTTGCTCAAAAAGGAACGTTATTAAATCACATGCGAACACATACCGGTGAGAAACCATTCAGATGCAGCCATTGCTCGGTCTGCTTCTCTGAAAAAGGAACTTTAAAACGGCACATGCGAACACATACCGGTGAGAAACCATTCACTTGCAGCCAGTGCTCGGCTTGTTTCGCTGGAAAAGGAGATTTAAAACGGCACATGCGAACACATACCGGTGAGAAACCATTTACTTGCAGTCATTGCTCGGCCCGTTTTGCTCAGACACAACATTTAAAATTCCACATGCGAACACATACCGGTGAGAAACCATTCACTTGCAGCTATTGCTCGGCTTGTTTCGCTAGAAAAGGAGATTTAAAACAACACTTGCGAACACATACCGGGGAAAAACCATTTACTTGCAGCCATTGCTCGGACTGCTTCGCTCTAAACGCAACTTTAATACGGCACATGCGAACACATACCAGTGAGAAACCATTCAGATGCAGCCAATGCTCGGTCTGTTTCGCTCAAAAAGGAACGTTATTAAATCACATGCGAAGACATACCGGTGAGAAACCATTCAGATGCAGCCATTGCTCGGTCTGCTTCACTGAAAAAGGAACTTTAAAACGGCACATGCGAACACATACCGGTGAGAAACCATTTACTTGCAGCCATTGCTCGGACTGCTTCACCAAAAAAGGAGCTTTAATACAACACATGCGAACACATACTGGTGGCAAACCATTTATTTGCAGCCATTGCTCGGCTTGTTTCGCTCTAAAAGGAAATTTAATAGAACACATGCAGACACATACCGGACAGAAACCATTTACTTGCAGCCATTGCTCGGTCTGCTTCACTCGAAAAGGAAGTTTTATACGACACATGCGAACACATACTGTTGAGGAACCATCAATTACTTGTAGCTATCGCCCTGCACGTTTTGCTGAGTGAGGTAGTTTGAAACGACTCATGTGAACAAACTCCGGTGAGAGACCATTTACTTGTATTGATTGCTCGGCCGGTTTTTCTCAAAAATAATATATAATTCGGCATGTGAGCACGTTCTGGTTAGAAATCATTTTGTTGCAGCCATTGCTCAGTGTGTTTCGCTGAAATAGGAAATTTAATTTAACACATACAAACAAGTACGAGTAACAATTTTTGTCATGGGAACGGAGTTCCCCATGATATTACAATCGTTCCGTTGCTTTCGCTATGGGATTCCCCATACCTCTGCGACCTTGAGCGTTTCGCCCAGTCTCCGATTTTTGGTTGATTTTCCGATGTATCAAAAACCGTTGTATTTTTTAGCCAATCATGTCTCTACGTCAAGTTGTGTTGATTTCTAAAATTCGCTTTCAGCGAGTTTTTTTCCACCTTGAGATGTCGTGTCTGACTGGTAAATCTGCGCAGAACCACGAAGTTTCGTTTTTAGGCAAATTCTTTTTTTTGGGAGGTTCCGATTGGTTATTTTTCGCCATCAGTTTTCTGTTCGTTGGTTCAAAAGATCGCCTACCTCGTTGCTCTTGAGAAGCCGCCATTATCCCACCTCAAATTTTAAACATAGATATAAAGAAATAATAACCATCGTACAAGGTGGAAAATTGCTCTGGAGGACCCGTTACGGATATATGAGCCAAAATCAGAACTCGATTGATGGATTTAATCCATGAATACAGAAATATTGCCTCAGTTTACTGCCGCGATAGCAAATGCATGTTGAGATGAACCTTGAGACACATGGGGGCAGAGGCAAACAATGTCTCACAGAGAAAGGCGCTTACTCCGTCCTGACATATAACATCAGTGGACAAAGTCTCAAGGACTTCTTTTGTGAAGCCCCGCTCAGCGTCTGAGATCACTTAACTGTTTTCTTTTTTCCCCGTTTCTCCGTGCGACGAGATGGCTCAGATGACTACGGCACCATCCTCAAGCGGGTAGTATAGTTTTCTTTTGTGCGAGCGGGGGTTCGAATCTCGTAGGGGACACTTAATTTTTACTGGTTGTATTGAATGTTTTAGACCAATCATCTAACAATAATTAATACTTGGCAACTTAGGAAGCACATAGGTCCCTTATGATGCGTATTCGGGCATATGTGTAGAGTAAACATATCATACGTAGGGTGTCCCAAAAGTACCGGGACTGGTTCTGTAACTTCAAAAGTATGATAGATACAGACATGATTTTGGTTTCATTTTAAAGATCAACTCAATGCCTATCGATTGAAACCAAGATCAGCTCAATCGGATAAAAATTTACCGAGTTATGGCAATTTGAAATCAGTGAGGAAAGTTTACCCCTACGGTTTTTAGGAAGATTTTTCCCGTACCAGAATTCAAAAAGTTAATATTCGTATCCACTTTCCTCCGAATCTTCCATAACTTCCTTTTGCTTTTCAAAGTACCGTTCATCAAACCGGATGCACTTTTTCATGCGCTCTTGCCACTTATCCAACATTGTTTTCCTGAATTCTTCCTCTGGGATGGACTTGAAGAAGTTTTGAATTGCATTCTGGATTTCGGTCTTCGATACGAATCTTCGTCCGCGAAGTTTCTTTTTAAGCGTAGGAAACATCCAAAAATCACATGGAGCCAAGTCAGGGCTATAAGGGGGATGAGGGATTGTTTCAACTCCATTTTTACTTATAAATTCACGTGTTAAGCTCGATGTGTGAGGCCGCGCATTGTCTTGATGGAGTATCCACGAAGCTTTCAAGTCCGACCGTTTCCAGGAAATGTGCATTCTCAACTCCTTTAGTACTTTGCAATAATACGCACTGTCAACTGTTGTGTTTGATGGTACAAAATGTTGATTTTTTTTTTTTTTTATTTGCACAAAATATAATATGTACCGGATGGTTTTTAGATGTTGATACATCTGTAAAAAACTTAAATTTAACTTATAAGATAAACTTATACTATGTTACGAATATTTGTTTTAGCTAAGTGACTAGGAATATATTAAAACAAATTAATATATGATATACACCCTCTTTGTAGTGAGGAGAAAAATAAAAACAATGTTGCTTCAGAGTAAAAATGTCTTTTTGATTTAACTTGGACGGTGGGAGACCGAGATCGGTCAAAGACCCAAGAACCCCTGATTGCGTTCGAAAAGCGCAAGGAGGCTCATTGATTTAAAAGATGGAAAATTTTGAGAACCCCTGGATTCCAAGCTCGTGAGGTTTACGACGTTTTAATCTTCGGATGCATCGGTCTTTTTCGAGAAGTGCGAGCGCTTCAGGATTGGGGTGCCAATGCAATCTATTTTCATAAGAGTTATACATTTTTGTTATGTAGTCCTCTACAGAGTCAATGTTGAGATCAGCGCGAATATCCACGTTTCTCTCATACCATCTGGCTTTTGAAATGCTTCGTAAAATTTTCATTTGGATGATTTCTATCTTTTTAATGTTAGATTTGGATGCGCAGCCCCACAACTGGCATCCATAACTCCAAACCGGTCTCAACATTGACTTGTAGAGGAGCACTTTGGTTTCTAAGGGTAACTTGGATTTGCGGCCTATCAGCCACTGCATATCATGAAATTTAAGTCTTAATTGTTCGACTTTTTTCTTTATGTGTGCACCCCATTTGAGCCTGGAATCCAGATGGAGGCCTAAATAACGGGCGACTGTGTCGCGAGGAATTTCAGAATTTCCTAAATGAAGAGGAATGTGAACAAAAGGTCTGTTGGTGAACACATTTTCTACCGACTTAGACGCATTTAGTTTTGTTTTATCTTTGTTAGTCCATTTATTAATCCTATTTAGGTGGGATTGAGCATTAAAACGAGCCTCCCTGTAACTTTTCGACGCTGCTAGCACGAGCGTATCATCGGCATAAACTCCCAATTCCCCCCCCTCCCAGACTGAAAAAATGTTGATAAATGACACCTCGAAAATCAAAAAACACAATAAGCATCACTTTATAGGCCGATTTTTCGATTCACGGCGATGAAGAATCTTCCTTAAAAACCGTAGGGGTAAACTTTCCTCACTGATTTCAAATTGCCATTACTCGGTCAATTTTTATCCGATTGAGTTGATCTTGGTTTTAATCGATAGGTATTGAGTTGATCTTTAAAATGAGATCAAGATCATGTCTGTATCTATCTTACTTTCGAAGTTACAGAACAAGTCCCGGTGCTTTTGGGACACCTTATGTATACTTTACGCCGAAAAAGCGAACCTGAAACTTAAATGCGTTAACTTCCGAAAACCATATATAATCCAACGAAAATAAATAATTGGTACATAACAGCTTTCTTGTATGCAAAGAAAATAATTAAAAATGTTAAAAAAGAGATGTCAACACAAAATTACATAGCCCCTTCAATTCAGAAGATACTACAAACGAACTGTACCTTAACATTTTCATATCCCAGAAGCTAACGTTCCCATGACGAATATTGCTATCGCTAGCGATTGCAAAATCCAACTTGTTTTAGTTACAGCCGTTGCTCGGCTTTCTTTGCTCAAAAAGGTAATTTTATATAATACATGTGAACACATGTGATTCTGAAACTGAACAGGTGTACGTATTGCTCTGCCTATTTTTATCACACGAGTCGTTGATAGTATCCTGTCTGAACGCATAGCGGTGAGAAACTTTTCTGCTGCAGTCTTTGATTCGTTTCCTTTATTGTAACTGGTCTTTGACTAAACATATGAATAAAAACACTTATTGTCGAGCGACCTTGTGGCTGTTGTTAATTCCATGCACCTTTTCCCGAAAAAACCCATCTGAAGTAAGATGTGAAATCGCTTTTTAGGGACAAATCCCACACTTACAGTCATTACAAGTCGTCCGCCCTCGTAGGCGGTTCTACGGGGGTGCCAGTGGGTGCCGGGCACCCCTAAGCAAAAATTAAGTACGGTTATCGGAACCGTAAAATTACTGCTTTTAAAGATTCTTTATTCGCTCACACTGAGAAAAAATCCCAGCAATTAATTGAAAATGTTTTAAACAGAATTAAAATTGATAGCCGTGTTTTACAAAGATTCCACTGTTTTTTCATATGGTATGATTGTAGTTTTGATGAAAAATTTTCCTAAAATTTTCTAAATTGAATATACAGGTATTTAAGTGGAGAGGAAGGAGAAAAAAAGAAAAAGGAAGGTAGGGAAGGGATATAACTTGAGGGCCAATACTTGGGCCTCCCCTGAGCGACCGTCCCCTTTGGAGCGCGTCTCCGACATTTTCCACCCCTGGGCACCCCCAAGAATGAAGGTCCAGAACTGCCTATGATATTGAGCTTCCATCTCCTTGCTAAGGCGCAGGGATTCAACTATTTGAACTCTCCGGAACGCGTGAGGGTTCACGCCTCAATTGAAGGCGTTTTCGAATCTTCTGTGTTACATGCCGAGATTTTCCAAATTGTTTTGCATTATATTGTTGATTTGAGTTCCTTTTATTATTTAGTTAAATTACTCCTGATTCATACTTTTTAATTATTCTGCTATAATTATCCATTTGCGAAATACAATCCTGACTTTAGCACCCTTAAACTACGGTCCTAACGGTCGAAACTGCAGTAACGGCTCGGGAAAACCGAAAAACCAAGGGGGGACGCTACTTCGATACAAAGCTTCCTTCGCCTTGCTAAGGCGCAGGGATACAACTATTTGAACTCTCCGGAACGCGTGAGGTATCACGCCTCAATTGAAGGCGTTTCCGAACCTTTTTGTGTTAAATGACGAGATTTTCCAAATCGTTTTGCATTATATTGTTGTTTTGAGTTCCTCTTATTATTTAGAAAAATTACTCCTGCTTCTTACTTGTTAATTATTCTGCAAAAATTATCCATTTGCGAAATGCAATCCTGGCTTTAGTGCCCTTAAACTACAGCCTTGACGGTCGAAACTGCAGTAGCGGCACAGGAAAACCGAAAAACCAAGCGGGGACGCTACTTCAATAATAAGCCTACATCGCCTTGCTAAGGCGCAGGGATACAACTATTTGAACTCTCCGGAACGCATGAGGTATAACGTTTCAATTGAAGGCGTTTTCGAATCTTCTGTGTTACATGACGAGATTTTTTTTCCAAATTTTTTTTTTTTTCCAAATTTTTATTACATTATATTGTTGATTTGAGTTCCTTTTATTATTTAGTTATAT